AGTCCTACAGAATGCCCTGGTACTCCTACCACTCTGTAGATGTAGTTTTGTTCCTGGCTGGAGCTATGCTGCTTGTGCTTTTAGCATTTTTTTTCTTTATTAAATGTTTATACGCTGCAGTGTGTAAATATAAAGTGAAACGTGAGTGATAACGTGAGGTATTTTAGTGGGATGGTGGGCTGATCTTGACTTCCTGGTTTGCCTGAACTAATGCCATGTTCAGCTTTTTTGTAATTGATCATTAGCCATAATTATGATATAAAATGCAGCTGCATCTTTCTTTTTTGCGTCTTCTGCAATTTATTCTAACCTCAGCTCAACAGTATTGCAATAACAAGTTGTATTTGTCAGTTTCGGAAAGGCTCATTTTCTCTCATCACTCAATGAGTAAAGACAAGAAGCATTAATCCATACTGTAAGGCACCATTTTGTCTTAAGCTGAATAAAGGCAGAACAAAAACGGATATTAGTGCAATTTAAATTCCATTTCATATGCATTCATGAGTTAAACCAAAAAAATCCCCCAAACAAAGTTCCACATATCATAGGGATCACTGTAAATAAACTGCTCACCTCTGGGAATTTAAAATATCTCCTGAGTTTGGTTACCTACTGCTTTCTTTGATGCTTGAGCAAAACTACTTTAAACCCTCTTAAAGGATAACATGGAGAGATTTACAAGGCTACAAGATAAGAATACAAGAAAGCCACTGGATAGCTCAGTCTTCTGGATATAGTTTTACCTGAAAGCAGAGTCCTAACATACCCTGGTGTTCTTACCACCTTGTAGATATAGTTTTGTTTCTAGTTGGAATCATGCTGCTTGTGCTTTTAACTGTTGTTTATCTTGTAATGTGATGAAACACTGCATTATGTACAAATAAAAAGAAATATGAGTAATCAGAAAGTAAGGATTTTCTTAACTTTTTCAATTTTATATCATCATTCATTTTCTTATGATATTTCAGCAAATTTAATAATAAATAAAACACTTAAAATTATTCATGGCTAAACCACAAAATTGAGCCTTTTTTTTAATGCAAACTCACCAGTGCACTCACCTGCCATCGTCTGTTACTGCTGTTTGGCTTACTGAATCTAATCCATTGTACAGATAGAAATGTGTTTCGTTATAAGAAGGACCCAAAGGTTTATTTTTTGTGTAATAAATACATTTAAGTCAGATTCACTGTAGTCAAAAGAACATTTCACACTGCAGTAATTAATGTGAAGTGTTGTGGTTCTGTTGTGCTCTGACCTACCTGCCCCTCCATGTAGAAACATGGAAAGCCTGAGGCAGGGAGATGGAACAGGTATCAACAACAGATGTGACCCTGATCAAGTTAGAAGGCATGAAAAGAAACAGCTGGGAAGGTGGTGGGCTGTAAAGTGGTCAGCACATGTGCCAGAAACTGTAGGCAAGCTAAATCAGCTTGAATAGAACAACCTATGTGTAATTATCAGTAAGATCATTAGAAAGATACTTGGTATGGCAATGGGGAGGAATTGATGTCAGCTGTTATCATCTAGCCTAATGGGATTGTGGGTTAAGCCTGTCTTCGTGGGCTGAAGTAGTGGTATGATAAATTTGTTGTTCTAAAATAATTTCTGCTCAGAGAGACGAAATGTGTGCGGAGCTGGTGGCACCAAAACACTACTTGGTTTTCTGAGAGGATCCATTTGATTACCATCATAAAACATAATAGTGGCATAAAATGCAGTTGCGTCTTTCCAATTTGCTACTTCTCCAACACATTCTAACTATAGCTGTACAGCATCGCAGTCACCAGTTGCATTTGAATGAAGAAAAGAAGGATTAGTCCATAAAATGCCACCAGCACACCGACAAGTTCTTTTTGTGTTCAGTGAAATAAAGCCACATTAATTTTAATCAGAACTGAAATGGCATCTCATGTGTTGCTTGTTCTGTATTCCATTATTCATTGCTAATAAATAAGGAGATGAATTTATTGTCTTCTTATAAGGAGTTTTGGGTAATATTTTTTAAAAATGGGGTAACTGTGATCAAGAGTTAGAGAACAAAACACACACAGTCACATCTAAATTTCATTGTAATGATTCAGTCAATGTATAACCTCATTATCGTATCACTGCTCTTTGCACACAGATTGATACCGTTATGCACTTTGCCTTACAAGGGTCTACTGAGGCAATGGGCAATAGTGCCTTTTGCATGGTGGCTCAGCTCCTCCCCTCTGGAGAGTACAAATACACACATGTCACGTTCAACATACTGGTGCTTTGAACAACAGTTCTCTTATCACCGTGACCTTTGCTGGATAAAGAAACTATTCATATTACAGTAAGTAGAAAAGCTTTCAGACTCAATAAACTGTTTAAATGCAGCACTATGCATACATTTAAACATATTAACCCTTTTATGTGGGGAACTGACTTTCAATACAAATAGTATTCTGTTGTTAAAAAGTAAAAAATAAAAAAAAGTAAAATTTGCTATAATAAAGTGAAAGCATAGCATGTTTTTAGCAGCAATTTAAAAAATATAGATTTTATTTTTTATTTCTTGGAATGTTAATTTTAAAGGTAGGAAAATGCTCTCTAAAACATCTTAAACAATTATTAACAACCGTTTTACAATGCCTAGCAATAACATTGTTTGGACACGGATTTAAAGTTAAATTTTTCTTTATTTTTTGACATTTTTTTGGCCTTTTTTGGGTTGGGGCTTCTACTACACTTGAATTTGAATGAGACCAGGAATACACACTGGGCATATAGTCTACCCACAGAGATAACACAGAGAGACAGATAAACATTCACACTCACATTCTCACCTACAGCCAATCTAGAACCTATAGAGGCACAGTTAGAATTTTTCAAACATTTTTTTAAAAAGATTAGGACATTATAATCTGTTTTTCTGTTTGAAAACTTAATTCGAACTTGCAGATAGTGTTTGCAAATTGTGTGAGAACATCCCTGTCTAGCTATCTTTATTTTTAGGTAGGTAGGGTAACATATCACTACATTTACACTCTGATTTTACAAATGACCTTCTTTATGCCAGTAAGTTGATTTTGAATTTCAGATGAGGGTCGTCTGCTGCTGCACTGCTTTCCTGCTGCTCATCCTAATTCCCAAAGCCTGTGAAGGAGGCAACATCTTGGTCTATCCTTCTGAAGGCAGCCACTGGATAAACATGGAAATTCTACTAAAGGCTTTGCACTCTAGAGGACACAATATCACCATTCTGCGTTCTAGTAAAAGCTGGTACATAAAAGATAACTCATCTTATTACAGTGCCTTTACAGTTCCAGTGGAAAACACCTTGGATCAGACATTCATCACAAGGATTGTAGCTGAGATCATAGAATTTGAACGAGGAGCCCTCCCCTTGATTAGTTTTCTCCACATGAGTGTGGGAATGTTTGGCACATTTATTGATGCCCACAAAGGCGTAGGTGCAGTAGTAACAGCAATGATGGATGACAGTGAGTTGATGAGAAAAATGAAAGACAGCAAGTTTGACCTGCTACTTGCTGACCCCTGCTGGGGTGGTGCCATCATTCTGGCCAAATATTTGAACCTTCCTTTGGTTTATAATGTTCGCTGGCTTATAGCTGCAGAGTCACATTTTTCCATAGCTCCTTCACCATTGTCTTATATTCCTATAACAGGAGCAGGGAATACTGACAAGATGACCTTTTTGCAGAGAGTTACAAACATGCTTTTGCACATTATAACCCAAATACAAAATGACCTCTTAGTTAGACTAGTATACCAGAAATTAACTGACAAATATCTTGGGCCTGGTCATGATTTTAATGAGTTAATGATTGCTGCAGACATTTGGCTGATGAGAGTGGACTTTGTGTTTGAGTACCCACGGCCCACAATGCCTAATGTTGTTTATATCGGAGGGTTCCAGTGCAAACCTGCTAAACCTCTGCCTCAGCACTTGGAGGACTTTGTGCAGAGTTCTGGGGACCATGGCTTCATCCTCATGTCTCTGGGAACATTTGTGACTGAACTTCCTTCTGATATAACAAATGAGATCGCTGCAGCTTTTGCTAAACTACCACAGAAAGTGATCTGGAAGTATAAAGGTAATAGACCAGCCAATCTGGGTAATAACACTTTACTGGTGGACTGGATGCCACAGAATGACCTTTTAGGACATCCAAAAATAAAACTGTTTGTGGCACACGGAGGAACAAATGGAGTCCAAGAAGCTATTTATCATGGAGTCCCAGTTGTGGGTATACCTGTGTTTTTTGACCAACATGACAACCTGCTACGTCTGAAAGAGAGAGGAGGAGGCAAAATACTTACATTAGGTACAGTGGACAAAGACTACAACTTCCTGAAGGCCATAGAGGAAGTCCTGAGTGATCCCTCGTACAGGGCGAACATGCAGAGACTTTCCAGGCTACACAGAGATAAGCCAGTAAAGCCACTGGATAACGCCCTCTTCTGGATAGAGTTTGTCATGAGGCACAAAGGTGCAGCTCACCTGAAAGCAGAGTCCTACAGAATGCCCTGGTACTCCTACCACTCTGTAGATGTAGTTTTGTTCCTGGCTGGAGCTATGCTGCTTGTGCTTTTAACCACTTTCTACCTTATTAGGTGTATATACACTGGGATGTGTAAACGTAAAGTGAAACATGACTAATGATCAGTGCACAGATGGATTTGATAATGCATTGTGTCATTTTAACTTCTCATTCTTGTTTGAGTACCTCATTCATATGAGGTTGTTATAAAAAAAAACTTCATCATTATTAAAAGTCTGTGTTTCAAAATAATTCTGAGTGGATTAACTCTAACAAGATAAACATAATCAATGAAAAAAATCCATTTTGTATCTTTACTTGAATATATGTAGTTTTGTTATATTTTGCCTTTGTTTAAAAAGGAAAACAACTGCCTCTATGTTTGACAAACAATACATATCTTCTTAATGAAGAGATGTGAGAGGAATTCTCCGTTGATGGGACTTTAAATGATAATCTCATGCCAGGCAAATCTGAGTAATGATCCCATTTGAATTACAGAAAATGTTCTATTTAATTTGTAAACGCTGTCAGATCAGTCGCTTATTAATGCCAAGAATGACAGAATGGCACTGGCATAATGCTCTGGACACGCGTGTTTTTAGTCTTAAGAGAAAATGAATCAATGAATGAACAACTGAATGATTGTCAGTTTTACTTTAATCGAATGCAGCATTCAGTTGAAATACAAAAAATGTCGGTGTAAATGTAACTTAAAATTGAATCAAGACCGGTCATGTCACATTGCAGAGTAACGCATTCCTCTCGTCACATTGCATTTTTGTCATAACTCATTAACGTGACGCGTAACAGTACTAAATTCGGTAATGACATCGGGTAACATTTAGGCCTTACTTTGGTTACAATGATTATTCAGTACGCCGAGCGAATAAAAAGTGCAACAAAAAAGCACAAAACGTGTCTTCTTCCTGCCCGTTGACACTATGATTTTGGTTCCTGTGTAGGGAGGAGGAAATGGTGGAGCCATAGACATACATAAATATGTATGTCCATGGGTGGAGTAGTCTACAACTTTTGAGGAGTGGAGGTTTGGACAATATGTTTCATTTTTAGTTAAAGGACAAGCACGTGATTATAAAGAGCAACAGGACGACATAAAACACTTGTATTAGATTGTCAACACAACATCGGCTCGTTCCAAGCATCTGCAGTGACAGCATGCTGGCTCAGAACTAGCGAAGATCTTCAACAGGCAACAAAGGTAGTAAGGAGCACTCTGTAGCCTCCATTTCTACGTCTTTTTAATAGTAGCTTTGAGGTTTCTTTAGGCTGGTATTCAGCTTTGTGTTGTCGGTTTTGTGGTCATGCAATCAGTGAAGAAAGCGTGTCTCTCTCCCTCTCTCTGTGCGCGTTTGTGTGTGTGTACAAATAAGGAGCAATGTGTAACGCTTTACTTTTTATGAGTAACGATCCCAGCACTGGTGAGGAGTGTGCACACACATGAAGCCTATCAGCTTCAGTATGAAAACATCGAATCGCGGAAGAATAGTAACAATAAAGCTAAACAATAAAGCGAGACTCGGGTTTGGATTACACAATGTATTAGTGACACAAAGAAAGCGCAACATAGGAAAATGTAATCACTACGGCCAAGGCGAGAACACTGATCAGAAGAATAAAAAAATTAATTATTTCTTAAATAATTATATGACCTTATATATTTTGCAAAAGAACTAAAGAAATTACATTACTGAGTATTACCGAGTATTCAGTATCAGTACCCGACTCAAATGTTTTTGAGTCGGGTTTGTTTCCCCACAGCTGGTGGCGGTAATGCACCAATTCATAGTTTTCTAACCAAGACGAATTTCAAGTAAGTTTAAAAAGAAGAAGTGCTGTATGAAACTTGTGCAAAGCTATGGTTAGGTGTGGAACGCTTGTAGTAACTGCAGGGCTGTTGTCACGCAGTAAGGCTTGTTAAATTGAAACTGAAGCGCTTATACCCATTCTTATTAAAGTTAAAGCTGATTAAAGTTAATTGGATAGATGGGTTGGTGATTTGATAGATTGCGCTCAGGCTAAGTGGTTAGACATAGTGATAATGACCTTTTTGACTTTATAAGCGTGACTTATTGAATACAATAAACATGCTTCGCAAGTGGAAGAGTCTCTATTTACAACCGTGCACAGGTCTATATGAACACATAATTCTTGGATCAGTGCCTGCCTTTTATTCTAGAGCCAAATTCAAGATAGTCATTTTAGAGATAATTGTTTATTTTTTAGTGTTAATGTGTTAATATTTTGCAGACTGGTTAAAATCTCATCGTTTCAGATCAGCATAGTTATTAATATAATATATTTTGGGTTGAAATGTCCAAAATGCAACTTCCTTTTAAACAGACAAGAACTTAACCGTCACAGGCTTTGCACAACTGCAGGGGTGCGGCCAAAAAAAGACAAAAAACACAAAACAAAAAAAAAACAGAAAGTCTTGTTTTTTTCTTCCACCTTCACTTGTTTCAACTTAACCCACTCCAACTGTGCCTTGTCAGTTTGAAGGAGACGTACAACAAAACTAAGAGCATAAGTTAAGTTGTTATTCATGCTATTATTTGGCTGTGTTTGTTTTTTGTTGTACTGATTGAGTAGGTTTATATAACACATGCAGCATGACTCGCATTATATATCAAACACACAGCACTAACTGCCGAGAACATTTTAGTGAGTGTCTGTATGTGTGTGTTCACACAACTGTCATTGCTAAGATATGCTTGACAAGTGTCAACAGTTACCCTTTTTATATGCTTTGTTGGTTAATCTGCTATCTAAATTCTTCAATCTTTGTCAATATTTCAGTGTCATTTTTAGAGACATGCATGTAAAGGAATCACTTTTTAAGTGATTCCTTTACATGCATGTACTGGGGGTTCTAGTGCACATGGGCCCATTGGGTTTTATGAGACACTGTTCACTTGCTGTGAGAGAGACAAAAATACCTAACCATATCTACATAGCTACTGTAAGTCTTTTTTTCAGTTCAGAACACTGTATCTCTGGCTCATTGCATACTTATCTGTTTAAACAGGAACATCTGAAACCAAAAAATCATCAGTCATCTTCAATGACTTGCATTCAGTGCTTTTATCTGGGTCACAGCACTTTAAAGAGACTTCTTTGTTGACATGCCAACTAAGTTTGTGATGTAACCATAACATTTATAGCTTTTGTTTTTGGTTTGACACAAAAGAAAGTGTGGAAAACTACCCTTACCAGTTTGTTTTGTTTTGTTTTGTGTGTGTGTTTTCTTTTTTTTTCTTTTTTTTGTGCTCCACTGCCAGATAGTGCCATGACAGGTAGTGGCGAGATTATAAATCTCCTAAACTAAATCCAAACATTTTAAAATATATAAGAAAACAGATGCATTTGATCTGTTAAACATGCAGAGATTACTTAATTTCTTAAGAGGAAGATGCCAAACATAGTCACGCTTACAAAATAATTTCTGTTCAGGGACACTGGGATCTGACACAGAATGCACGCAGAGCTCTTGGCACCACACAGCACTCTAATTTCCTGAGAGGGCTCCATGTGCTACATACACGTGAGGGCTGTCACAAGGAATTTTCTCATGCAAATAAAGAGACAATTGAATATAAAATCACTGCAGCTCTCTGTTATCCTGATATATCATTGGCCACTGTGCACACATTTGCTGTGATATCATTGTAACACCTCTCTGATATGTGTGTCCTGTTTTTCACCTCTGTTTCTATTTCAGAACACAGCGCTTATGAAGATTTGAAGATGTTTTTGTCACTGGCTTCCATCCTCTCTTTTTTGACTGTTTTTATTCCTGTCGCACATTCTGGAAAAATTCTGGTATTTCCACATGATGGAAGCCACTGGGTGAACATGAGAGTACTTGTTGAAGAGCTCCATTTGCAGGGACACAATGTGACAGTGATTCGGAATGCAGACAGCTGGTACATCAGTAAAACGTCTCCACATTACAATGTAATCACAGTGGATGTTGATGGTGGTGGAAATGAAGATTTTTTTCGTGCATTTGTCTCTGAGGTTATTAAAATTAAGCGAAGCATGGGGTCTGCATGGTCTCACTTTGCTTTACAAATGGAGTTAAAAGACAAATTCTATGAACTGCACAAAAAAGTCTGTGAAGTGATTGTGTTCATCTTTGAAAATGAAGATTTAATGAAGTCCTTAAAAGATGCCAAGTATGATGTGGTTTTGACAGATCCTGCTAATGGCGGAGGAGTGTTGCTGGCACATTACCTTGGCGTGCCATTGGTGTTCAATGCTCGATGGACTGTTCATGGTGAGGCCCACTTTGCTATTGCGCCCTCTCCACTTTCCTATGTTCCACTATCACCTTCAGAGTTAACGGATCACATGACCTTCTTTGGGAGGGTCCAGAACATGTTATTTTACATCACGAGAATGCATCTGTACAAGCAAATAGTTGAACCACATTATTCTGTATTGTCAAATCGCTACATTGGACCAGGTGTGCATTATTTCTCCCTTTTTCAAGCTGCAGATTTGTGGCTAATGAGAGTGGACTTTGTTTTTGAGTTTCCACGACCCACCATGCCTAATGTTGTTTATATGGGAGGTTTCCAGTGTAAACCTGCAAAACCTCTTCCACAACACTTAGAGGAGTTTGTGCAGAGTTCTGGAGATCATGGAGTTATCATTATGTCACTAGGGTCTTTGATTGGAGAACTTCCCTCTGACTTAGCTGAAGAGATCGCTGCAGCTTTTGGCGAGTTACCTCAGAAAGTGATCTGGAGGTATAAAGGTAACAAACCAGCCCTTCTAGACAACAATACATTATTAGTCGACTGGATGCCACAAAATGACCTGCTAGGACATCCAAGTATTAAACTATTTGTAAGTCATGGGGGAACTAATGGGATTTATGAGGCTATATATCATGGGATTCCAATAGTTGGCATTCCCATTATTTTTGATCAAGCTGACAACTTATCCCGAATGAGAGCAAAAGGTGTTGCGAAGGTTTTGGATGTTTCAGATTTCGACAGGAAAATATTTAAAAATGCAATACAGGAAGTCCTTAATGAACCATCCTACACAATAAACATGCAGAGGCTCTCCAGGCTACACAGAGATCAGCCAATGAAGCCACTGGATCGTGCTATCTTTTGGATTGAGTTTGTCATGAGACATAAAGGTGCAGCTCATCTAAGGACTGAGTCCTACAAACTGCCCTGGTATTTCTACTACTCTCTAGATGTCATATTATTTTTACTAACAAGTGCACTACTTACATTGTTTTTTTTTATCATGTTACTATGGTTTTGCTTTAGATTGTGCTTGAAAAGAAAAGCAAAATCTGACTAAAAGTCATTTTCATATGTTGATATATTGTTACAGCACAGTCAGATTGGCTGTGGTTAGTAAAACTGATTTCTTTCTCAGTCATTCCCAGTTTGCCAGAAGTACTGTCTCAGCCAGTCCCAGTGTTCATACTGCTGCACCCAAAATCTTCTCTAGCCCATCTTTACTTGAGTTGATCATCATTTAAGTCATCATATAAGTTAACTGTTTTTCATATTTCTTTATTATAAAGATCAGTAGTGGTTTGCACATTTGTCTAAAACACGATCCCTGGTTCAAGAGCGGTAGGAGATACATCCGGCATAAAAATCTGCCAAATCAAATATGTGCAAATATGTATGCAAATATACATATCCTGTATGTTTATTTTAGATGACCTCCTGTAGTCTTCTGAAGTACCTTCGTGGGCCATCAGGTGGTGCTGGCTACACTTTGGGAATAACTAAGAAAAAAATCTACTTATCTGTATGTTTTTCTGATAGGATTATTTATAACATGTATGGATTTTCCAAATCACAAAAAAACATATTTGAGGACTGTGGACCACAAAACTAGTTACCTTCGTTTTTGTATGAATTTAAATTACAGAATTGCAATAAAACAAAAGCTTATTGCACCATGTATGTGTTATGGTATATGTTCCTCTGTAGCATTAAACATCTGTAACCCTTCAGTTTTGAAAACAAGGTTTTCCTTATTCAGTCTTAATTTGGTAACTGATGGGCATACGACAAACATCAAATACTGCGTTACCTCCCCTTTGCACTTTCTTATCACCTGTGCTTAAAAGAACATGATACTGCAGTACCAAAGTCCTGCTTAGGTTTAAAACTCTAATGGTTGGTGCATGTTGGTCTCTCTGGCAAAACTGAATTTGAAATTACACAGTCTGCTAAAAAAGGTAACAATATATTTTTACCTACTTTTACCTACAAAAACGTAATAGCTTTTGGGACTGGTAGTTATATGTATTTTCAAGTTAATTGTTAATTGTACCACAATGTTCTTCCTGTGGTTTGGATTCTCTTCAGGGACACAGGTTACTTAACTTAATAGCTTATATATGCAAAAACCTAAGTTACTTTATAGACTTCACAGGCTACTTGAAAACATTCAAAGTTTTATTTTAAAGCTTATTGATCTTTACATTTTTGTTATTAAGCTGATTGGAGAAGGCTGCACATACTACAGCAAACGCACAGTCATAAAACGTATTAACATAAAATGAAAATAACAATTGTTTAATTGTTGTAATTGTTTAATAAAACAAGACTATAATGAGCTTTTTTCCAACCTTTAGAATTAAAATGCACTGGACCTGCATTCTGATTAGTTTCTGCTGGCTCTGCCCAATGTTGGTTCATGCTGGGAAAGTGCTTGTTTTTCCAGTGGATGGAAGCCACTGGGTAAATATGAATGTCATTATTCAGGAGCTACATCTAAGGGGCCACCAGGTTTCCGTTGTGCGTTCAACAGACAGCTGGTACATCAAGGAATCCTCCCCATTCTATACTTCAATTACGCTCGATATGGAGTCAGGGTTTGATGAAGACTTTTTAACAGCATTTATTGCGGAACTGTTGGACATCCAGAAGGGAGGGATGTCTGTCTGGAAACGCTTTAAACTGGAAATGGAACTAGCAAAAAAAACTCTGAAGTGCAAAAGAAACAAAGCAAATTGATTGAAGGGCTTTTTGAAAACAAAGAGCTTATACAGTCACTAAAGGATGCAGAATATGATCTTGTCCTGACAGATCCTGCCACACCAACAGGTGCCATACTTGCCCAATACCTCAAGTTGCCTCTTGTTTTTAATGTTAGATGGACTAGTCAGGGTGAAGGCCATTTTTCAATTGCACCATCTCCTCTCTCTTATGTTCCCATAGTAGGGAGTGAGCTATCTGATAAAATGAGCTTTTTTGAGAGGCTGCTAAATGTCCTAATTTTTGGTTTCGCAGAACATCAGATTGCCCAGTATTTGCTACCACATTATGAGAACCTCATTGAAAAATATTTTGGTCCAGACACAGACTACTTATCCATCTTTCAAGCTGACCTGTGGCTAATGAGAGTGGATTTTGTGTTTGAGTTTCCTCGCCCCACCATGCCTAATGTTATCTATATGGGAGGGTTCCAGTGCAAACCAGCAAAACCGCTTCCACAACATTTGGAGGACTTTGTGCAGAGTTCTGGAGAACATGGTGTGATCCTCATGTCTCTGGGAACTTTGATTGGAGAACTACCCCCTGACCTAGCTGAAGCGATCACTGCAGCTTTTGCAAAATTACCCCAGAAAGTCATTTGGCGGTATATAGGTGACAGGCCAGGCACTCTGGGTAACAACACTTTGCTGGTGGACTGGATGCCACAGAGTGACCTATTAGGGCATCCTAAAATAAAACTTTTTGTGGCTCATGGGGGAACAAATGGTGTTCAAGAAGCTATTTATCATGGAGTCCCTATTTTAGGACTTCCTCTGGTTTTTGATCAACATGATAATTTACTTAGAATCAAAGAAAGAGGAGCAGGGAAAGTCATAGATGTTTTTACTATGAATGAAGACATTTTCTTTCAAGGTATTATGGAAGTCCTGACTGATCCCTCCTACGGCGTGAACATGCAGAGACTTTCCAGGCTGCACAGAGATCAGCCAATAAAGCCACTGGACAATGCCCTCTTCTGGATAGAGTTCGTCATGAGACACAAAGGTGCAGCTCACTTAAGAACTGAGTGAGCCCCAGTGAACCAGAAAAGTTCTTGCAGTACTAACCAGTGCATCACGACACTGCTCTTGTAGGTGAGGTTTCATAACAAACAGCTACACCATTTGCCATTTTATCACTGAAATTACTAGACGTTACAAACCATTCATCCTGTGTAAGGCAAATTTACCAATCGTTTCAACAAAAATAAGACAGAAAGAAATGAAGTAGTTTGAGATTCTTAGTTGTGTGACTACATTAGTTGGCCAATGAATATGACATCCTGCTGTGTCTAAGAATGAGGGGAGTGGATTAGATAAAGGCAACAACGTCCTCAGGGCCAAACAGGAAGTTTTGAATAAGCCATCCCTCAGGATGAACATGCTACATTTTCAACACTTAATAGGTTTAACTGCCACTTGGGGAACATTTCAAAGCGAAAGAAAATACAATTCGCAGCTAAACTACTGCTATTACCATCAGCTTTGTGAGACCTGGCTAGATCTTCATGCTGCAGAGGTGCAATTTTCCAATTGCTTAATTATTCATTAAATTTGACTAAAGTCCTAAAGAGTAATTTTACAACAGCATTTTTTAATTCAAATAATATATTTTATCTAGCACTACATAATTTTTGTAATGCAAGCTCGAGAGATGCTACGTTTTATCTTCAAGAGCCAATCAAACTGAAAGACAACTCAAATTCTCAAGACCGCAGGTTTGTAAGGGCTATGACAAATGACCATACAGAGTATTTTACTTCAATAAATAAATTTTTTATTACAAAAAGATTAAAAAACATACAGGAAGTATTGTTATAGAAAGTATGTCAATGGGAAACAGGTGAAACATTAAGAATTTCACTTAAGTCTGAATTTTTACTGTTACCAAAAAGTAAACATAACGGGGGTCTAACATCTTTTGCTACAGGAGGGAAAACAAGAAGTGAAGTTTCAGTTTAGAGAAGTGAAATTTTCACATTCTTCTTTTAGCAATCACACATTAAAAAACAATAGTACAAGTCAACTAATGTTAGTCGGATCAATATTAGCTGCCTGGTGGATTTCACTTGTGTTAAGATAAAAACACAAACACAAAAAAAAATTTAAAAACTTGATTACATGACAAAGTGAAATATCACTTTTAAGGGCAAAAACAAACATGCTACAAATTAAATGCACATACGTGTGCAGTAAAATAAGACTGGTGTTAAGAACTAGCTAGCTAAGGACAAAAATTCAAAAAACAAAGAGACGTTTTATTGAAAGTAACGACGCTTAACAGTTTCTCTTCCTCCTGGCTCCTGCCTTGTCATCAAGTAGTCTAATAAAACAGATGAATCAGCTGAATTGGCGATCGATGTACTAATCCATTACTTTATGTAGCTTTTGCAGACAAGACACGAAAAGAGAACCATATTTCTCAAAACACACCACAAAGTTTAGGTAAAACAAACAACCCCCCCCCCACACACACACACACACACACAATACATTACAGGACAATAAGAGTTTTCACTAATATTGATATTATATGCATATTTATGAGGCTTCATTTGGCAGCATCAGTGGCTATTCAAAGGCACTGTATATCCCGCTTCCATGAGGAAAATACTCAAATGGTACAGCAGTTACAAAAACTTATAGTAAATGTCTGTTCCAAGTATTTACAAGTATCCGTGCCAGCAGGGCAGGTGTGGTGGGCGGTGTGTGTCCCCTCAAGATGTCCGGGTCCTTAGAGAGCTCATCCTGAGCACAGTGAGCTCAGCTACATTTGCATCCTGCATCTCCACATCTTGTTGGCAGCTTTCTCTGATTACATACACTATGAGACCCATACAGATGAAAATGAGGAGGACTATGCCTATAACCTAGGGTACAGAGGAGCACCACTTTGTTTAGTAAATATCAACATAAAAGGCATCATGTTGGTCAATAATCTCTATTAACAAAGCTATAAGAATGTTCACAGATGTAACAGCAATTAATATGTTCTATAGAGTGCATACTCAGAGATAAGTGCTCTCATTGTGTTCATCATATGCAGTGGTTTATTAACAAAAAAGTAATCTACTCACCTGAGAAAACACAAACAGCTGTTGTGAGCGGAGCATTAGTTCTTGTGTGGTGACATCTCCCTCTCTAATTGGCTCACACCATTTCTGTGGAGCTGCCTTGTCAACTAGTACAAATCTACCCTCCCAGTCTGTCATAGCACAAGCAAAGTATTGGCCATCGAGGAACAATAAAATCAGCCACACGATAGCGGGAACAAAACTGGAGAGGGACACAGTTTTCCTGCACCACATATCACATCTGCATCCTTGAATGATCAGCATCAAAGTGAAGGCCATGACGGCAGGAATGATGAAGAATGCTGATGAAAACAATCCGTTCCATTTAGGACTGCAAGGACACTCAAACTCCAGCTCCACCAGCTTCTCTAGTCCCATGAGGATAAAGCCAAAAGCCACATTTGATACCAGAGGACTGTTACTAAGTTCATTTTTCAGCCTGGTAAGCCATTGTTGTCTACTTTCCATACTAGATTGACCAAAGAATGAAGACAGTCGTTGTAAAAAACCCAAAAGAGGATCCTCCGTTGTGAACACATTGGCAACAGCTAAGTGATGCGTAATTAACGCATCCAGGGGTAAGTTTTCCCCTCAGGCAAAATGCCACACTTCCACTCTGATTGGTTTTGAACAAAAGAGGGTGTGCCGTCTGCTCTGACATTTCTATAGCTGATTGGGCTTTGTGAAGTTTCAGGTGGGGTTACTTTTTAAATGTGGTCTTCCATGGACAAACTGGAGGGAGGGCTGTAAAGTGGAGGGAAGTTTGTTCTGCAATTGAGCAAAGATTGGCATTTTCCAACAAAACACCCATGAAGGGGTAGCCATATATCCAAGGGCAGGCTTTTACATTGAAGAATCAATTTGCAATCCCCAATTCACACTGCAACAAAACAAAAGGGAAGGGATTTCAAAATGAAAATCATATTCAGCTAAATAAAGGACACATAATTTACCACACATAGCTACAGTTGTTAGTGCTTGAAGTCCTCAAGCGTTTCCCCCATTTGCTACAAGTGTTTGGAATTACAAAAATGGATGCAAGTTGACACTTTTCTCTTTACCTCTACTGACCACGGGAGGTCGCCCATGCAGCGGGACAGCGCAGATTAAGGATAGAAGAGGATTACAGGAGGCCATGTTGAACTTTCAAGGGGATGTGGTACATACAGCTCCAGAGCACCCAGGCTAGGGATGTGATGACATAATTTATAAATGACCTCAGTGAGCTCAAGAGCATCACCATAATCTCCTCACGTTAAAACCTGACAGTATTTAGGCGCAATGAATAAAGGTCAGGAAAAACACCACTGACGAAAACTAAATTGCTTTCAGCTGATCTTCATATACACCTCAATTTATTTATAAAAAATCAATTATTCATACTCGTGTTATGGCAAGCACTTGACTACTGACTTGTCACTTTATAGGAGACGTTAATTTTGCAAGAGTTGTGGAACAGAGTTAGGGAATCATTTAGATTCAGACTGTAAAACAGTTATAGAAATAACTCTGAGAGGGACAAACATCCATTTCTAATGAGACACTATGAACATGAGCACCTGTCATCTCATAGAAATAATAATAATAATAAACTGTAATGGCTAAAGAGGCACATAATTACTGTCTGAGTTGGAAACACCATCAATTAGCTACATAGGATGTGATTTTGTGTATTCGTTCACGGTCATAAGCGCACTGGGCACGCGCAGCCTGTCGTTGCTGCCGTCGGTGTCCTACCAGCATCTGTTCCTCTTTTGGTATTAAAAATAGACCGGTGCTGATAACAGACTTATGTTTCGACTGCATCATTTGCCGTCGGGAATCTTTTGTGCGCTACTTTCATTTTAATCACCGAGCCGTGACCGCGAGAGCGCAAATGCGCATCGGTCTGCGCATCTTTGAATCTTCAGAACCACACTGTGGACAATCTCCCTGACATCCAAAGACCTCTCCCCCGCAATCCTACGAGGCTTCTTCGCCGTTTATGGCCGCACATCGGCATCCCTGAGCCGCCGGCCTCGTTCCGGACCTTTCACTCATCGCTGCTCTCAAAAGCTCTCAGAATCAGGGAGACATTTCTACACCAAATTGAAACCGTCCTCGGCTGGCTATTTTTAAAGAACCCGGTGCGATGCTGGGCCCGTCTCTCTAGATCTTGTGATCACTAGCCTGCACGATCTCTCCTCCCACATTCGTCCGATCAAGACCCCGGTACTCTGATCGAGCCCCAACGATGCATCGTAACGCAGTGATGCTGGCTGTGGTCCTTTTGGGGAACTTGATGCTACCTTTCATCTCTGCTCAAAACGGTAAGCAAACAGCTGTGACCATGACATTACTGTTACCATCGCATTGAGGGAAAGTGACTTGGCTTGTGTGAGGACGCGGAGGGAATTGTTTCTAAAGAGGATTTTGAGACCGCGTTAAAGCCATAGTTTCACACCAAGACTGCAATTAGACAGCAACATATATAATTTACTTAATGCCACGTTAACAAACACAAATACGACTGTGTTGACGTTTTTACAATGTTATTTATTGCTGTATTGAGTTTTGTTGGCGTGTTTGTAGGAATAATTTACTGTCGCAGATTATGCTGTGGAATACTAGTAAGTTTTTTTTTAGTTTTTTTTTTTACTAAGGTCTAAGATTTGCAGTTTACCTTCACTACCCACATGAGGTAGTAACCTATGGCTGTCAGTTTTAAGTTTGTTTAGTCAAAGGTGGAATTGGTAGTAAGAGTATGTCAGGCAAGATTAACATGCTCTGGATGCTGATCAAGTGACATTGTCAGCAGCAAACACAGGCAAAAGATTCACCTGATGTGTCTTGTAAACACTGCAAATACCAGGCCCTTCATTGTCAAAGATGTGACTGAGCTTCTGATTAACTGAAACTGTTCTGTGTTATTCCACATTTTTTTTGCCATGCCAGCATAAATGATCATTTCTTGTGCAAATAATTCTGTCTGTGGGAAATTCTATAGTAAAACAAATAACAGTCCCATTTTTTAACATCAGATCTCCTACCAGATAGCCACAGTAAAATAAATAAATAAAAGTATTTGGCTGATAAGTATCATTTACGAAGAGATGAAAGGCTACTTATTTGGCAGTTTTTGAAAAAATCAGTGTCTGTTAATCATAATAAAACTAGCATGACTTGGTTTAAACAAATGTCAGCAACATGCTGTTGGGTGTTCCAGGCTGTCGTCCTCTGATGCAGCATGTCCTGACTCCAAATTCTGTTGAATCACATCACCCAGAGGGTCTCACATATCAGCAGCCATTCATGAAATCAAGGTGGAGTCTTTATATTTTTAATGTTTTTAATGTTTAAGTATTTCTTTAGTAAGCGTGATTATGAAGACAGCATTAAGATGATATACTTCTGGAAACAAAGTGTTTAATCTCATAACTGACTCTTTTACGAATCTGATGTAGCCACATGTCAGAACCCACGTGCTCACAAACGAGTGACACTTAATCTGCTATCACAGAAAACTGTGGCAGAGAATTATGATGCATACTCATAATTTTAATGCTTAGTGTCCACCTCGGCTTTGCTGCGGGGGATAATCGAACACCCACTATGCAAGAATTAATATAACATGTGTTTAGATGGTTGTTTGAGAACACTGTGAAAATTCCAGCTCTGTGGTTGCTAATTTTGCAAGTATTTCAGATCGAACATTTTCAACATTAGCTTAGTCTAATCAACATGGGAATAACAGCTTGCACTATTTTTATGTAATACAAACAACAAAAATGCTAAAATAAATAAAGTGCTGCAACAAAAATCATGATAGTTTAAAAAAAGTGCAAAAACAACCTATGTTTATTTAGCTTGGGGTGGACAGGAGACTCAAATACCAACATAGTTATATAACAAAATTATTACTCAAATTCTTGTCTTTCTTTATTGTTAATTTCTTTGAAGTGCCTGAAGTGAGTGTGCATACTGTGAGGCATTCTCTCATCTCGCTATCTGGAAAATCAAATACACAATAATCCCTCTATTGTTTGACAAAGCTCAAGTAATGTCTTTCCAGACACTTCCTCTGGTCTCTGCCCAGTTTTATTACCCACTCACTGAGGTCCAGTTCACACTACAGAAACACTCACACACACAATAACATCCAGTGGTCAGTGAGAGGCAGAGCTATGCCACTCAGGCTGTCTGTTTCATCTGTATTATGTAGAAATCACAGGTTTGGTAAGTGCAGTGATAAACTACTGTTAATACCAAAGGTAATATTTGCTCACATTGCATGCAAAGGCCATTTAATTTCTCTCACACAGTTCAGATTTAGGGTAATCGGTGCATGGCTTCTTATGCAATCCGAAATTTTCCTGTGATATTACAGAGTTCAGACAGTTATGTGGGGACAATAATAATTATAAGTGCATGAGATGTAATCACTGTATCTAGGAAGCAGAGGGAATTCAAGTCATTTCCTCATTCCCTGGGAAAAGTAGGCCCACATAGGTGCACAGTTTCTGTGACAGAAATTTGGAGGGACTGTAAATAGCATCCGTCCATTCTGCCTCGTTTCTATTTTTACCACCGAGACACAGCACTGAGAACTGTGGCTTTAAGGTCCTTTTGTGAAAGTGAATCCATTAACTCTTAATGGATGGCCTCCTTGTGCACAGCTGCCCGGCCCTCTAAAGAATCACTAGGTGGCTGTGGACTATTTAAGCTGAGAGATGATGTGATCTTGATGCAAAGAAGGTACTGGCTGTTGAGAAGGTAACTAGAGCTGACCTAAGGAAATGCCTTTGCGTCTTACATAATTTCCCCCTACGAATCACGTAGTCTACTCTTTTTTTGTTTTGTTTTTTCATCATCTGTGTTTGCATGAATCAAAACGTGGAGAAGGCATACTAAGATATTTTAAATAATGAACTGATATTATCACTTACATGTTCAAATGTAAACACTGTTTTCTGTCATTGAGGGGCTCAGTTAAGACTGAGCATATATGGCATCGAAGATGGCTTCTTCTTTGGGGTTTACTATCTACGTACAAAGATAGGAATGCTGACAAGCCACACCTAAATGCATTCCAACATGTAAGCAACAACCCCCTCAAAAAATGTAATAATAGTTTTCTTTGTCAATAAGTGACCTTCTTTTTCTGCTTTATGTCACTTAGGCATTATCTTCATCTGAAGCAAACAAAGCATTTTAAGATGGTTCATTTGTGAGTCTGGAAAATATGCTGTGGGACGGAAGCCAAACTCGTACACTGAGTCATGCCTGCCCACTGTGAAATGTGATATGGCCTGTAGTGATTAGGAGCACCATTGCACTTTATTAAACACATTGCAGGCATACAAAATAATGATGCACATCTGTAACACACACTGTGATTAAAAAAGA